ATGGCTGTCTTGATGGATAAATGGATGGATGGATGAATGGTTGAATGGTTGGATGGCTGGCTGGAACCCAGTCTTTTCTTTTGTCTCAGAATGTAAAAGTATCAATAAATGTTAAGAACCATTAGATGTTTTTAGTTTTATAATTTCACACGTACCGGCCAGAGAAGCCCCCTGTAAAACCCGTGATTGGCCCATGAGCCACCAGTTGATAAAGAGCCACCAGTTGATCGTCTGACTCATGTCTCCACTGCAGCCGGTGGGTTTTCATGTTTTTCAGTCAGATTTTTCTGTTCGTTATTCTTTGACAATTATTCTTTTCTATTGTTTGGAAGCGTTTGAAACAAACACATCACCTGCTGTCGTTTGACGGATTTGTTCCTACAAAATCAGACATTTTATTTTCAGCAGAGCCTAAAAAACAAAACAACATATAAAATATATAAAGAAATAATATACAAACTAAATAAAAACATTTTAGATATTTAACGTACAGTTATATTTGAGTATTTAAGAGAGAAATACTAAAACTTTATTTTTTGACGATAGAGAGACCAGATGTCCCACTTTATGTAGATTATGTCTCATATTTAATTAGACTTATTTTAATTATTTTATAGTCAGGACAGCAGGGATGGTTTGTGTCACTTTCAGATTATTTAAGTCTAAGTCTTTGGAAAGACTACAAAAATCCAAACTTGAACATGAAAGAATTCCAGCTGCATTTTTTTTGTAATTACAACATGAACTGAACCAGTAATTAATCCTGAACCAGTAATTAATCCTGAACCAGTAATTAATCCTGGTAATTAATCCTGAAATGACCCAAAAGTTTCACTTTTTCTGCTCCTGCGTTCTTTAGCAGTGACGTAATGAACTCCCGCGCTTTGGAAAGCGCAAAGACGCAAATAGGAAGACGTAATTCACTTTCCGTGTCGGGTCCAGCCAATGGGAGCAGAGAATTCTAGTCAGCCAATGGTGTGCGCCCTCTACATGTCCGTCGTCCAATCAGCGTCGAGAGGGGGTTGGTAAAAGCAGCCAATGGGAGCGCAGCAGGCCAGTGGCCAGCGAAGTGTCTGCCGGGTTCTCTTCTCCGCCCGGCTGGTTCCTTTTTTTTTGGGATCTCGCAGCAATGGCGGAACAGCAGCAGTTCTACCTCTTGCTGGGTAACCTGATGAGTTCTGACAACAACGTCAGGAAACAAGCAGAGGTAAGGAAAAGCTCGCGGCTGGAGCTCGCACTAAACGCCCTAACGTCGTTCGCTGACTGTCCGGCCGCGCGCGCTCGGACTCGGGAGCCCACGTGCGACGAGAGTCCCGGCAACTGACGGCTAAGGCTAACTCCCGACATGTTGCGTAGTTGTGCGGGAGATGCGGATTCAGTGCTGGCGCCGCGTGTGCGGGACCTGGTTAGTCCGGGCGGGTTTCGAGGGGGCGAATGGGTGAAAGTGTTCCCCTGGTGCTAATCTCCAAATCTCCCAGCTGACGGCGGAGCTACAGGAAGTAGCTCGGAGCTAAACCGCAGCTAACGCCGTGTTAGCCTCCGAGCTAGCGGCGGAGTCGCTGCCGCACGTGAAGAAATCGATCTTAATAAAGATCACCGGATCATTTAAGGGCTGATGTGTTGGCAGTGAACATGTAGCTGTCTGGAGGCGCTTTATTGCAAATAAAACTCGACTAAGAAGCATTTTTAAACGTGACTACAGGGGCGAAGCTATGGGGGAGCCAAGGGGGACCACCTCCCAAAAAGTTAACTGGTGCACCCAGTTTTATTTATTCTGAATGTGATTAGTAAAGCCTCCTAAAGAAAACATAAAAAACACTGTTGAAGTTAATATAAGTTAAAGGGTTAAGTTGTATTAAAACATCTCGGTCACCCCTGAACGAGTTAATCTGGTCTCGGATGATTAATTTAAGAAATAATGAGCACCAAGTTAAAAAGGAATAATTTGGGGTAATGTAGTAAAACATTGGATGATCATGATAAATTTTTGATGTACACAGCAACACAAAAGTATCTAAATATTATTAAATATAATATTTAAATATATTAAATTAATAATAAATAGTGTTTTCGCTTGAGACATATTGTTTTGGTGATTGTACCCCTTCAAACTGCACTCATGGTTGAAGACCAAAAGGACGATTGGAACATGCAGGACCTGTTAAAACTGGACTCTTCTGGTTTCTGAACACGATTTAATTCTGTTTTTATTTTGTTCATTTAGACTTTATTTATCCAGGTCGTCTCATTGAGCCACGAGAACGCATTTTCAACAGAGACCTGTTTAGGAGCAGATGGTGGGGGTTGAGGGCCTTGCTCAGGGGCCCAGGGTGGGGCCAGTGAGGGTGGAGGCAGGTGTGGGTGCTTCACCTTTTCCACCCACATGTTGACGGTACTGGGAGTTGAACCTGCGACTTTCCGATCACAAGCCCATCTTCTAACCTCTACGCCACCACTCCCCCGAATTTAATTGTGTTTAAATTCCTGTAAAATGATAAATTACCCCCCCCCCCCCCCCCGGTGTCGTTAAGTAATCCAGGTTTACTTTGGTCTCCTGCAGCAAAGCTTTTGGGCGATGCGGTTAAATGTGATCTCTGCCGTCACCGACTGTCAGCGCTTTCCTTTTGTCGAGCACAGACTGTGGCGTAAAGCTGAGCTCAGTGCTATTCAGCTACGGCAGGCCTTTGTATCGCATAATCAAACAGCCAGTAGAGAGATTATTATTCTTTCAGATGGTTTCAGTGTTCCCAGTTGGTGTTTGAATGGTGGCCAGTAAGAGCTAAAACATCTCCATTTATAGCTCTATCACTATTTTCTCTTTTTTACAAAACTAAATTTACATTAAGTAACAAAAGGGTTCAGTGACCCGGACCGCAGGAACCGCACCTGGTCGGTGACCCGGGCCTGGTGTCAAAGTTAGACTGGTTCTAGTGGTCACATTGAAACGTGGTTCAATCAGTGCAGCAGTTTTCTAGTTTCCATGTGTAGGTCAAAGGTCGTCCCCTCTGCTCCTTCTGACCGCAGTCTGCAGGTTTCCCTGCTTCAGCACACCTGCATGTAACGAACGAGTCGCTCGTGTGCTGCACGTTTCAGTCGGCAGCTCTGTGGCCGAACGTTCACAGCAGCTGTTCTGCCACTGAAGCTCCGCCCAGTCTCCTCTTTGTGACGCAGATGTTTTCATTCGACGACGCCCGGGAGTCGATGAAGAATGTTGTTTGGTCAGAAGATGTTTAATGTCGTGAGATAAAGAATCTGCTTGTTTACCTGCGAGCGTCTCTTCAGACACACCCACCCGGGCGTCGCTCCAGCTCTAGGTGATGTGTTCAACAACGTGTCTTTTCTTCACAGGAGACCTACGACCCGATCCCTGGACCCAACAAGATCACCTTCCTGCTGCAGGCCGTCCGAGATGCGTCGGCTGCAGAGGAGGTAAACCAAGCGTCCATCCTTAGAAACCTCGTGTAAACCTTGACCTGAGGTTAGGGCAACAAAAGTAACAAGTAGAAGTTAACGAGCCGACAGCTCTGAAGAGTCTCGTTAGTTAGTCCTTCGTCTTTCAGCTTTTGTTTAGTGCTCAGTTGTGCTGGTTGAGTAATTACAACACTGTATTCATCATCATCATCATCATCATCATCATCATCATCATGATGCTTCAGTCATCTTGGAGGTTTTCTGAACCAGCAAACAAAACCAAGCCTGCATAACAACAACAACAATAAAGTTATTAATAAATCAATTTCTTGAATCTATAATCGTGATCTTTAGCTGGTTGACACCAGAACACGCATGTCGGAGTAAACACGCCAACATTAATGAACATGCAGGAGATTAACGCAAAATAATCCTCGTCTTTGTTTCCATGTAAACAAACGATAATCATCCTTGGGTTTCTTGTTAAATTAACTTGTGAATAATTTAATTTGTAAAGAAAAAAATAAATAAACAAAAACTGAAATAAAGTTCACACGTCAAGTTTCCTTTCAGGGAACGAAATGAAACTTAGCAACTTGTATCTTCCACTGGCTAATAAGGTTTTAGTTGTGCTTGGTGTTCGCAAGGTGTTATTGTAAGCACATGTTGGCAGCATGTTGGCAGCATGTTGGCAGCGTGTTGGCACTCCCTTCACTTTTAAAATAAAACACAAATGGAACATCATCAGATGCCGTAACTCAAAATGACTCGTGAAACTATGTCGAGTGTTTTCAATGTGGTTAAGCGCTGATTGCTAAGCTAGCTGTTAGCATGTACACTCGCCCACACGTGGCAACAACTTGAGCCATGAACTTTGGCTCCAACGACTCATGGATGCTGCTCAAGTCGAGCACAGCAGGAAGTCATCCCACCTCTTTCTGAAAGACTAAAGAACTACAATGAGACTGGTGCACACAGATGTGGGCGGAGCTTATGCATTAACCAGGAAGTGAAGAAAGAGGATTGTGCTTCCTCTTTTCAAAATAAACTGTTTCAAAGTAAAATCCATGTATCAGTTGAAATGTGGAGAGAAGTGTTTGTTTGGAGCGGTGTGTTCATGTGTGGACCTTCTGCTCCACTCGTGGTGCGGCCATGTTGCTAAAGTTCACCGTGACGACCAGCTTCACTTCAAGAAGCTGAAACCTTTTCAGCTTCTTGAAACGAGAGCGGGCAGCGAGGCGTCGTCGTGGTTTTCCTTCTGGTTTCTGTTTGAAACGGTTCCGTCCGGTCCCGTCAGGTCCGACAGATGGCGGCGGTGCTGCTGAGGCGGCTGCTGTCCTCGTCCTTTGAGGAGATCTACCCGGGTCTGACGCTGGAGATGCAGACGGCCATCAAGGCGGAGCTGCTGATGAGCATCCAGCAGGCGAACCCTCCCAACATCCGCAAGAAGGTCTGCGACATCGCCGCCGAGCTCTGCCGCAACCTGATCGGTAAAGTGGACGTCTTTAAGCTCCGCCCTGTTTGTTTGTGTTAAGGCGTTGAAGGTTAAAGATGTTTCTTCTGCAGACGATGACGGGAACAACCAGTGGCCGGAGGTGCTCAAGTTCCTGTTCGACTCGGTCAACTCGGACAACGTGGGCCTGCGAGAATCCGCCCTGCACATATTCTGGTGAGCGACGCGCTCGGCTCGGCCCGCGACGGGCGCGCTCGTGGCTGACGGGCGCGCTCGTGGCTGACGGGCGCCTTGTCTCGTTTTGTGCTTCAGGAACTTTCCGGGGATCTTCGGCAACCAGCAGCAGCACTACCTGGAGGTCATCAAGCGCATGCTCGTTCAGTGCATGCAGGATCAGGCCAATCCACAGGTAGCCGTGTTGACCCGGCGTGGCCTCGCCGCTCCGGTTAGCCTCCCCGCCGGGCGTGTTCACGACTCTTTGTTCTGATCGCAGATTCGGACCCTGGCAGCTCGAGCTGCAGCTTCCTTCGTTCTGTCAAACGAGAGCAACACGGCGCTGCTGAAGCATTTCGCCGACCTGCTGCCAGGAGTTCTGCAGGTCGGACCCAGGACTCAGTAAAGTTTTCATCAAGTCCTTCGTGGCGCTGACGTTTGTTTGTTTGTTTGTTTGTTCAGGCTGTGAACGAGTCCTGTTACCAGGGAGACGACTCGGTGCTCAAGTCTTTGGTGGAGATCGCAGACACGGCGCCCAAATACCTGCGACCCAACCTGGAGGCCACGCTGCAGCTCTGCCTGAAGGTGCGTTGGATTTCTGTTTGTTCAACAGAAGAGTGGGCGCTCGTTAAGGGTGCGTTTGTTTAACGGGCGCTCGTGTCCCGTCTCCTCAGCTGTGTGCGGACACGAACCTGACGAACATGCAGAGGCAGCTGGCGCTGGAGGTCATCGTCACGTTGTCGGAGACGGCGGCGGCCATGTTGAGGAGGCACACGGCCATCGTCGCTCAGAGCGGTGAGGTCATCAGCTCGGAGGGGGGGTCGGCAGGCGTTCTTGTAGCTAACGTGTTTGTGGTCTCAGTGCCCCAGATGTTGGCGATGATGGTGGACCTGGAGGACGACGAGGAGTGGGCCCAGGCTGACGAGCTGGAGGACGATGACTTTGACAGGTACCGAAGGGTCTTCAGAACCGGGGGGGGGGGGGGGGGGGTGTCCTGCTCCGAGGCTCGTTCTGACGAGTTTCCTGTGGTTTACCAGCAACGCTGTGGCCGGGGAGAGCGCTCTGGACCGGATCGCCTGCGGTTTGGGAGGAAAGATCATCTTACCCATGATCAAACAGCACATCATGCAGATGCTGCAGAACCGTGAGTGACTCCGCCCCTTTCTTTACACCTGACTTGAAATGAGGGGAAGTTGAGCCTTTCTGTTGACGTCTCGCCACCAGCTGACTGGAAGTACCGCCACGCTGGGTTGATGGCGCTGTCCGCCATCGGTGAGGGCTGCCACCAGCAGATGGAGGCCATCCTCCAGGAGATCGTCAGCTTCGTCCTCCTGTTCTGCTCCGACCCGGTAACGGTTCTGTTTCCTGTTCTGTGCTGGGTCTGTTAGAGGAGGACGTGTTTAAACTGGGTGTTTCCCTCCCCAGCACCCGAGGGTGCGCTACGCCGCCTGCAACGCCATCGGACAGATGGCCACGGACTTCGCTCCGACCTTTCAAAAGAAGTTTCACGACAAGGTACCTGTCCATGTGTGCTGCGGCGGTTCTGGTTCTGTTGGACTCTGTGTGAGTTGTTGTCTGTGTGTAGGTCATCTCGGCCCTGCTTCAGACCATGGAGGACCAGAGCAACCCTCGGGTGCAGGCGCACGCCGCCGCCGCGCTCATCAACTTCACGGAGGACTGTCCCAAACCGCTGCTCGTCCCGTACCTGGACAGCCTGGTGCAGCACCTGCACGTCATCATGGTGGCCAAGCTGCAGGAGGTGGGAGCTTCACGACTCCAGTCCACTTCACTTCTAAAGCCCATTGAAAGAGCAGCTGCTACCAAAGTGTTTAACAATGAGATCAAAGGCAGTCGTTAAAGATCAAACCACAAAATGAATTAAAATCAACGATGGGATCACGCTGCGTTACACGTCAGAGAACAGGTGTGTTTTTAAAAACAGGAAGTGAAGCGTCCCGTCCCATGTTGGGGCAGATTGTTGCAGGGTTTAGGACGCACGACTGAAAAAGCCTGATCTCCTCTGAGCTTCATCCAAAAGCAGCTGGACAGATGATCTGAGAAGGAACATGTGGTTGAAGGTCAGAGAGACTGAAGGTGCAAGGTCATTTAGTTTTAAAATCTATTCTGATACGTGGAGGGAGGACAAAACTGGTGGAATATGATCAAACCTACGAGTTCATGTTGAGAGCCGAGCTTTAGTATTTTGGACAAGCTGGAGAAGTGAAGTGGAGACCTGACTGACCCCAACATAAAGAGTTGCAGTGGTCCAGCTGGGTTGTAATGGGTGCATGGACTGTAGGTCAGATCTGATCAACATGGACTTCATCTTCACTATCTGCCTTAACTGGGAGGACATTTTCTGCAGAACAGAGTTAAACTTAAAGTCAGAATTTAAAACCATCCTGAGATTTGTAGCAGACTTAAGGTATGGACCAAGAGAGTCCAGGTTTACAGGATCAGAGACGGCAGCAGAGCTACGGTTAAACACAATGACTTCAGCTTTCTGATCGTTGAGACTTAAAAAATTTGAAGTCATCCACGTCTTGATGTCATCAAGACATCATCATAACGATGAAAAAAAGACGACGTTTCCTCAGGATAGACTCCAAAGGGAGCAGATGCAGTGACAATAGAAGGGGTCCAAGAATCAAGCCCTGTGGGACCCCGCAGGAAAGAGACTCTGACACACTATTTCCAACTTTAACACAGAAACTCTGGTCACTCAGATAAGAACAGAACAATCTGCACCAGTAATCCCAGTCCAGTGCTGTAACCAGGATACAAAGGTACTGTACAGCAGCAGGTCCAGAACCAGGACCGGACTGACCAGAGTCGTTTGCTAACAGAACGTCATTACAGACCCTCACTAAAGCTGTTACGGTGTAAATGTTTAAAACGCATTGAACAGAGTAAAAACTCTGTTCTTTGAGAAAGGACGGGACGTTTTGGAGATGGGTCTGAAGTTTGAGCATCAAGTCCAGGTGTTTCATTGGTTCAGTTACTGCTGCCTGTTCACAAACATCTGGAACCACAGCTGTAGCTGCTGTTGATGACAGAAACCTCAAACCTGTTCCTCTGCCCTCAGCTGATCCAGAAGGGAACCAAACTGGTCCTGGAGCAGGTGGTGACGTCCATCGCCTCCGTGGCCGACACGGCGGAGGAGAAGTTCGTGCCGTACTACGACCTGTTCATGCCCTCGCTCAAACACATCGTGGAGAACGCCGTGCAGAAGGAGCTGCGGCTGCTTCGAGGGAAGACCATCGAGTGCATCAGTCTGATCGGCCTGGCTGTCGGCAAGGACAAGGTGGGTGTGCACCTGGAGGGCCCGGACTCTCAGAACCTGTCTTACCTGTCTGCTCAGCATCCACTCTCCTCCACCAGTTCATGCCGGATGCCTCTGCCGTGATGCAGCTGCTCCTCAAGACCCAGACAGACTTCAACGACCTGGAGGACGACGACCCCCAGGTGGGACCCCCTGAACACGAGTGCATTCGTTGACGGCGTCTCGTTCTTGAATTAATGGTGCCGCGCTGCCTTTCAGATCTCCTACATGATCTCAGCCTGGGCCAGGATGTGCAAGATCCTCGGCAAGGAGTTCCAGCAGTACCTGCCGGTGGTGATGGGCCCCTTGATGAAGACCGCCTCCATCAAGCCTGAGGTGGCTCTGCTCGACAGTAAGTCCACCACGTTTGAGCTGTTCTGTTCTCGTTCTGGGTTAAGAACCAAAGCCTTGTCTTCAGCTCAGGACATGGAGAACATATCCGAGGACGAAGGATGGGAGTTTGTGAACCTGGGAGACCAGCAGAGTTTTGGGATTAAGACGGCGGGCCTGGAGGAGAAGGCCACGGCCTGTCAGATGTTGGTGAGCAGAAGGAGGTTCTGTGGTTCTGTGAGATAAAGTTCTGCTGGTGCAACCTTCACGTCCTACTTTGTTCCTGCAGGTGTGTTACGCCAAGGAGCTGAAGGAGGGGTTCGTGGAGTACACGGAGCAGGTGGTGAAGCTGATGGTTCCTCTGCTCAAGTTCTACTTCCACGATGATATCCTTTCAATCTTCAGACGGCTGATGTTAAAAATCTTGGTGTTATTTTTGATCAGGACATGTCTTTTATCCCCCACATTAAAAACGTTACTAGAACCTCCTTCTTCCACCTGCGTAATATCACTAACATTAGAAACATCTGATCTAAAGATGATGCAGAAAAACTGGTCCATGCATTTGTCACGTCTAGACTGGACTATTGCAATGGTTTATTATCTGGGTGTCCAAATACTTCTTTAAAACGTCTCCAGTTGATCCAAAATGCTGCTGCCAGAGTCTTAACTGGAGTTACTGGGAGAGATCATATCTCTCCAGTTTTAGCTTCTCTCCATTGGCTCCCTGTCAAATCCAGAATAGAATTCAAAATCTTACTTCTAACCTACAAAGCTCTCAACAACCTAGCTCCATCTTATATTACAGATCTTATTGTTCCATATTTTACTAACAGAGCACTTCACTCTCAGACTGCAGGTTTACTTGTGGTTCCTAGAGTTTCCAGCAGCAGAATGGGAGGAAGATCTTTCAGTTCTCAGGCTCCTCTCTTGTGGAACCAACTTCCAGTTTCTGTCCATGAGGCTGACACATTGTCCAGTTTAAGTCTGTCCTTTTTGATAAATCCTATAGTTAGGGTCGGCTTGGGTTTCCTGAGCTGTCCCTTAGTTCTGCTGCTATAGGCTTAGACTGCTGGAGGACAAACTGACCACATGTCCTCTCTGCTGCTGTCTTTACTTACTCTGCCTTTTTAGTTTTTTTAATTTCTATCTTAACATGTTTGTTTGTTTGTCTTTCCTCCTATAGAAAGTACACTTGGACTATAGAAACCACACCTAATTGTCTTGTAGTGCATGTTTTTGTTCAGTAACCTGAGACGACTCCTGTTGTGACGTGGACTATAGAAACCACCCGTGGACTATAGAAACCACACGTGGACTATAGAAACCACACGTGGACACACATGGACTATAGAAACCACACGTGGACTATAGAAACCACACGTGGACTA